TAGCTGACGATGAGATCTAGTGGAGGATAAGAGTGTTGAGCTTCTGCAAAAGCTTGGAAACCGTAAAATAGTCATCAGCTCGGCTCGCCGGGGTGCACAACTATTAGAGAAAATATGGTATTTCTAAATCGCTTTTTAAATGGTAGCTAAAGATATATCGACTAAACTAATATTTCTCTAAAATATATCAAACCTTAAACTGTGGATATGTTTCTCCTAAAGTGTGAAACATTCCCTTCACATTCACCAATCGAGCCACCGGAGCGAGCGCGAAGAATTTCCGGATTTTCCCCGCGAATCCCCGACTCAACACGAGTTTTGCGAACATTGTGAGAGTGCCTTGAGAATGACCGATGAAATAAAGCTGTAATTTTTTTTTGATTTTCAATTTCTTTCATCTCTTTAACCTGTTTTTGTTTTGTGACATTGAGAATTCCATCGACCATCGCCTCCAAATCATAACGAGCCATCTCTTCCCAAGAGAATCTATTGGGTTGTCCAGTTATGAATGCACGTTTTTACTATTGTCTTGAATTCAGGTTTAGGATGAGCTATAAAACGTCAAAATTGGACAAATTTAAGGTACTCTCCCAAGAAATAGGAAAGGACTTTTCCATCAACCCAATATTTGGTAAATTTCTCAAGATATCGGACAGATGTATAAGAGTGTTATATATCATTCAAAAGCTGAAGATCTCCTCTACATTTTGGAATAAAAAGTTTTTGAATTCATTCAACTTTTTGGGAAATTGACTGCACAAAGGGAGAGGTCGTTTTCCAAAAAAAAAAACCCCATTCCAGCTTAGCTATTCCTCAAGCTTTATGGTGTAAAATAACCGCCCAGAAAAGAAAAGTAAAGATACTCTGAAATTGTTATATTATAAAAAAAGTTGTATTGATATATCTATTGGCCAAACATCAAACGGTTAATTCAATTTGAGAGGAGCCAAAACTTGATCCAAAGGCACCCTTCCATTTTTTGGCCACCTCTTCTTCTGTGCAGTCAATTTGCCCAAAAGCTGAACAAAATTCAAAAAATTTTTTATATCAAAATGTAGAGGAGATCTTCAGCTTTCGAATAATACTCATATGTATACATCTTTTTCTTGATTTCGGTATCTTGAGAAATTTACAAAATAGTAAAAAACGCGCATGCATAACTGGAAAACCCAATATATTAATATCACCAGATTAATATCAAATCATTTCCTTTCTGTTATTAGTGTAGAATAGAGCACCTCCAATATTTTGCATCTCGATGATCCATCCGAAGGTGTGACTTTGAATAGGTGTTCCCTCGCATATTCCCCAACCAAACGTCGAAGCCTGCATCAGCGAAAACGAAGCCTAAATTTTAACCATTAGAAAACTAGGAGTGATTAGGATTAGATAAAAAAGAAATTTACAATAAAAGGCAATGAAAATTGCGAAATTTTAGAAATACACTCTAATCACATACCTGCGCTTTGACTCGGCAAATTCAGTAACCAAATCGAGCTTGTGCATAAAAGGCCATGTTGTAAGAAGACAACTGGTCTCAATTTTTTACTTCTAGTTTCTAAATCCTTCGATTACTAAACCATCTTTTTTTTTTGCATTTAACCATTTCTTCCATATGGAATTCGATGTAGAGTGAGAATATATCCATCTTTTGTCACAACATTGTACTCCTCGACTGGGTAACCCCAATGGGTGACGATTTCGGGCTGAAAAAGTTTTTTATAACAAGAAACAGAGCTCAGCTCATCAAATGAAATGAGCCATACTATCCGACGCAGAATTTTTTGCCCTTCCGAATCTCTGATTCGTTTTTGCAAAATGTTTCTGAATAGCTTTTGGCCTTTCTTTATAAGGCTTAAACGCGCGCTGCGTTTAGATGGTTGCCTGGTGTAGTCGGTAGTAGGTTATGACCCGGACTAGCTACTCCAGTTCAAATCCGCTCAAATCCGCTCACTTCTTTCTTGTTATTTCTTTTTAATACTTTTTATGATGTCTGTCATAGTCTCAAGTCTTTCCTATCACAAATTTATCACATAATAACTATAACATAATATAACAAGTAATGAATCCATTCACCCAAATCTTCCACTTTCCAAAAAAGAAAGAGGTGAGCGGATTCGAAACCTCGAGTAGATACTCCGTATCTTAACTTATTACCTAGTACGCCACGCAGCCATTTTCATGTAGTGCGCTCGTAAGAATAAAGAATAAGATAAAGAATAAGATAAAGAATAAGATAAAGAATAAGATAAAGAATAAGATAAAGATAAAGATAAAAATAAAAAAGGCCTTATAAAGAAAGGCCAAAAATTTGTTTACCAAATTGCAAGCGATTCAGAATAAATTTGCAAAAACGAATCAGATATTCGGAAGCGTAAAATTCTGCGTCGAATGATCTATGACTCATTTCATTTTGTGAGCTGATTCTGTTGACCGTCTAAGTAAGAGTTGATTGAAATCTTTATTTGTCTATTCAAATCATTCTAACTAAGAATTTTTAGTAAAATAACTAATCTAACAAGGAAAATCTATTTTTTTTTGCTTTATTTCAAAAAGCACACAAAATAGAACAAAAGTTAAACTTGAGATCATAAAAAAAAGGTTTATGAGAAAATATGTACATAAGTTTTATGTTTAGCGGTTGATTCGCTATAAAATACATAGCTTAAAACCAACCACGGACATCAAGGCTTCGGGATCAAGAGTGATATTTACTGGGGGTAGCATCTTCATCGAGTTAGCGCTTAACGGTGGAAATGTGAAATTAGATGTTGGTAGAGTTGGGAAAGGTTTTGGAGTTGGGAAGGTGGGAAGAGGAGGGAATGTTGGAAAGGAGATTGGAGCTTGAATTCGAGAGATTCCTGGGGGATAGCCATGCTTCGACATTGACATCATCATTGATATTGGTGGTGGAGTTGGGAAGATTGGAGAAAAATCTGAAAGCATCTACTTTACCAAGCCAATAAAATGACGTCAAAATAACGAAAAATAGGGGATACTTTTGACTATTTTGCACGCTATTTTGCATATTGGAAGAAGAGGAATTGGCAGGAAATATAAGTTATATAAAACTTAAAATTTGATTTTAACAATCTTTTTTCTACCAACGAAATTGGACACTTGGCTTTTTTAAATCCAATACTTGGCTTTTTTAAATACAAATTTGGTGCGACGTGCAAAATCCAGTCAAACTTCGATACAATGAAATTGAAATTCTAAAAACTGCCCAAAATCTCTGCGTAGCTGCCCTAGCCAAATACAATCAATGGTCATCCAGGGTAGCGTCCATTTGGGTTTGTTATATCAAAGCTTTTGGTCCTGAGCGATTCGTTATATCAAAGTTTGACTGTAGTCAAAAGCCTCGTAAAAAGTATGCTTTTAAACTTACTTAATAAACTCATTTAGTGAGAGGATTTTTAAATGCAAATTTCGCATCAAAAGCCTTGTAAAAAGTATGCTTACTGCTTACTTTTAAACTTACTTAACAAACTCATTTTGGGCGTTGTCGGTGGGATGAAAGGAAGACTGGCCAGAGTGGGCGCATTCTTCGGAAGAAACTCCTGAACAGGAGTTAATAAGAAAATGATAATTGTATCTAATTACTCAAAAGTGATAAAGCTTATCAAACCTTGAACCAATCTGCTGTTTTCTCGAAAATCGTGTTGAGGTCATTTTGCGCGTCGATGAGGCAAAGAACGATTGAGAAGAATAAGAACTGAGTGAGCTGAGGACATTTCATTCAATTTTGATTCTAAATGAAGGAAATTGAAATTGAAATGGAAATTGAAATGAAAATGGAAATGATAAAGAAAAAGAAAAAGAAAAAAAGAAAAATGGTTATGTAAAGAAACTTTAGCAGGAATGTTGTTTCAAATTCACAAATTGGTAAATGAAAGAGCTTTCACGTAAACACTCGCATTTAAGGGATGAGACGGTGGGAACTAGATTTAGGGAAAAGATCGGGTGGATTTAGTGGAAGTGAACAGGAATGGCGGTGGGTTGGGGAGGGGATGTTGATCGCTTCTCCCCTCTTCCCCTCCCACTCTCTTTTTATCTCCCCATCTCCCCAAAAGTTGGACGAGTTGACCTGATTCTTTTTCTCTCTTTCTTTTCCAATCTCTCCATAATCCAGTCCTTCATTTTTTTTGTTTTCTGACAAATCTGACAATGAAGTTGAGTTTTGAAATTTGAAAGTTGAAAGACGTGAGTGGTGAGTGAAAGACGGGAGTGATGGAGTGAAAGACGTGAGTGAAAGACGAGAAAGACGAGAAAAGTGCAAACAACATCAAAAACATCAAAAACAATATCAAAATTGCAAAATTGCAAATGAAAATAGATTTTTTCAAGTCTAAAAAGTACAGATCAAGTCAAAGAAAATCAAAAAATCAAAGAGAAATTGCAAAAGATGAGGCAATTATTTTTTTTGTCAACGATGAGACAAAATCGGAGAGACAAAATAACAAAAAAAAAAACCGGAAACTGATGAAATTTGATATTTGGAAATTTACCAAAAAATAGAATAAAAATAGAATAAAAATAAAGTTGATAAAAAATGAAAGTTTAAAAACTAGATAGGAACTATAAAGGAACTAAATAGAACCTAAATAGGAACTAGATAGGAACTATACAGTAACCAATAGGAACTATAAAGGAACTATTTAGGAACTAAATAGGAACTAAATAGGAACTATACAGCAAGCAAATAGGAACTAGATAGGAACTATAAAGAACTATGGCAAATAGGACAATAGGCTATACGCAGCAAATGGACTGTGGAACTATAAAGGAACTATTTAGGAACTAAATAGGAACTAAATAGGAACTATACAGCAAGCAAATAGGAACTAGATAGGAACTATAAAGGAACTATTTAGGAACTATTTAGGAACTAAATAGGAATTATACAGTAACCAAATAGGAACTATAAAGGAACTATATATCTACAATGTTACAATTACAATAATCTACAATTTTTCTTTTCAGAAGCCGGCTCTGTAGGCATGTCACTTTTGGTGTGGCTTGTTTCCGGGATTTTCACTGCCATTGGAGCCTACTGTTATGCTGAATTGGGAACATTGATCAAAGTGAAAATTGTTTTGATAGAAAAATCGAAATCTATTTCTAAACTCAGAAATCCGGTGGTGATTATGCTTATATCATGGAAGCATTCGGTCCATTCCTTGCATTTCTCCGTTTATGGATTGAGGCGATTGTGGTGAGGTGAGAGATTGGAAAACTTTATGAAATATCAAATTAAAAACTTTTATGGTCATTTTAGACCTTGCACAGTGACAATTGTTGCGTTGACCTTTGCAATCTACAGCCTTCGACCATTTTATCCAAATTGTCCTCCACCAGAATGGGCACCGGAATTGCTGGCTGTTTGTCTCATTGGTAATAGAGAAGCGGCAAGAAAAATTAGATTTCTCGAGAGGGGATTGAAGCCTCGACTTTTTGCTTTCCGTTAAGCTCTAACCATTTTCGAAAATTGCTCTAACCATTGCTCTAACCATTGCTCCAATCATTGGTCTAACCATTGGTCTAACCATTGGTCTAACCATTGCTCCAATCATTGCTCCAATCATTGCTCTAACCATTGCTCTAACCATTGCTCTAACCATTGCTCCAATCATTGGTCTAACCATTGGTCTAACCATTGGTCTAACCATTGCTCCAATCATTGCTCTAACCACTGAACTAGCTGGTACCTTAACTCTTCAAGAGAAAGAGGGATAGACAAGGGAGAAGAAGAGGAAGAAGAAGAAGAAGAAAGAAAGAAAGAAAGAAAGAAAGTTCAGATAATAGAGCTACTAGCAAATAAAGCATTTACTAAAACGTGGAAACTTTCCGACTATCGTAAGCCTCTAGTTTTATCCAATATTCTTTTAAAGTCTTTCAGTATTCTTTTTAAACCCACAGAATCAGACAAAAAAGTAGATAGATTAGTTAAACATTAGAGACAAGTTTACGACAAGATTACGGTAGCTTTTGAAAGTCCAAAAGACAATATTTTCAGTTTTGATGACAGCAATCAACTGTATTTCTATTCGAGCTGCCACTTTTGTTCAAGACTTTTTCACTGTTGCTAAAGTGAGTTTATAATAGACAGAAAAATTCCAATCTAAACCTAATTCCACTTTCGTTTTCTCATTTTTCTGAAATTTTGTTTACATTCTTATAGAAATCTCTGCTTGCAGAAAAAAAAAATTTCATATCAATCGGCAAAGAAACTCAGAAAATGAAGGTCGAATTGAATTGGTTGGTGAATTGAAAACTGCGGGACTTTGAACTAAAATTTATTCAAAATAAAACCATAAATTCATTCCAAATAATCTCCATTATTATTGACGACTTCTGCTCATTTTACAGGCAATTTGCGGATTCCTCTTTCGTAGTAGGATTTTGGTTTTGAATCGAAAAACTTTCAAAGCCAATTTTTGACTGCTTCTTCCGAATCGAAGTGTTCTCCCGCAAGCTCATTACTCATGATCCGGAATAAATAGCAATCAGAAGGGGCAAGGTCCGGGCTGTATGGGGAATGCGCCAAAAGTTCTCAAACAAGGCTATTTATTTTAGAGCGAGTCAGTGTGAGACTCAAAAATGGAGGACTGGAGATGTCCCAGTTTGAGCACTTTCTTCAAAAGAAACCCATTTTGGTGTCAATAGAAAAGTTGTAGAGAATCAAAAATGAGGCTTATAGCCAAATTTCCAAAAAGATACACTTAGTAGTTTCGCTTAAAATGCAAGTTTTGTGAAAACTCGTAAATTTGACATTTCTTGAAAACCAGTTTTTGAATCGTTCTGAAAATTTGGATATAAGCTTGATTTTTGATTCTCTACAACTTTTCCATTGACTCCAAAATGGGTTTCTTTTGAAGAAAGTGCTCAAACTGTCACATATGACAATAGGCGGCAGTTTTCAATTCACCAACCCAATAGATTCGGATTCGAATTTTGATTGGAATCTCATATCTAATTTATACACTGTCATTTAATTAATTAATGAATATTTTAGGTTTTTGCTCTTATTATGATTATTGGTGCTGGTGGGATTCTTCTTTGCTTAGGTAAAATATAAAACTTTCGAATTTCATCAAACAATTTATAGGAAAACCTCAGTACTATGCTTCTTTTGAAAATCTTTTCGAGGGAACTTCAAAGGTGATTTCTATTTAAATAAGAATTATAATTTTTCAGGATTTCACAACAATTTCTCTTGCTTTTTACGCTGGCCTTTTCGCCTATTCTGGATGGAATTTTCTCAATTTTATTGTTGAAGAGTTGCAAAATCCGAAAAGGTTTTTGAAAATACCGTATTCTCTCTAATAGTAGTGCACCCTGAGCATCGCTTAAATTCCTCGAAATCTCGAAAACCGCTTATCAGAACCTATCGATGTGGGGTCGAAAAATGTAGCTGACGATTAGATCTTGTTGGGATTTGAGTGTTGAGCTTCTGCAAAAGCTTGGAAACCGTAAAATAGTCATCAACTCGGCTCGCCGGGGTGCCCAACTATTAGAGAAAATGCGGTAGTTGGTTTAAAAGGCATAGACATAGACATAGAAATAGACCATAGTAGACCCCTTGCTCTAGCAAATTTTCTATTTAACGAACTATTTTTACGGAACTTAAACAATTTGTTGAATCGATTCAATTCAACAAATCGACACTAGTTGTTATTTCAGGATATTCAGTATGAGATCTACAGTATGAATAAGATTATACTCGATTGCCGTATTCTCTCTAATAGTAGTGCACCCTGAGCATCAGATAACGTCTAAAGAATCCACTAGAGCTTCAAGATCAAGATCATCTACAAATAGTTGAAAGGTTTCGAGACTATTGGACTCTCTTAAAACTCTGGAACTCTGGGGGAGTCGATTTCAAATTCTGGCATTTCTTATTGGAAAAGAGTTATACACAAACTTATTGGAGGTGACGGGAATTTCTAAAACGAAAGAAGCGTATAGTTGAAAATATTTATTTCACTATCAAATCAAGAAGTCTTTTCTTTTCTGTTACCTGTCACTGATATTCAAATATTTATTGATTTTAAAGATTATCCATAGCGAGAGTAGAAAAGTGGAGAAAAACGAGGAGAGATTTTGAAATTTTTGTGACGAATTTTTAATAGTTTACTTTTAAACGAACAAATCCTTTCTCTAATACCGTATTTTCTCTAATAGTAGTGCACCCTGAGCTTCGCCTAAATTACTCGAAATCTCGAGAACCGCTTATCAGAACCTATCGATGTGGGGTCGGAAAATGTAGCTGACGATGAGATCTAGTGGAGGACAAGAGTGTTGAGCTTCTGCAAAAGCTTGGAAACCGTCAAATAGTCACCAACTCGGCTCGCCGGGGTGCACTACTATTAGAGAAAATACGGTATTAGATTGGCAACTTGAAAGTTGGTACACTTTTTTTGTATTTTCCATAAAAACATATTTAATAGACCAATTGAACAATTGAATTAGATTTTGCTAAATAAAAGCTATATATTATCTAATTTCAGAAAACCCTAAGCAAATTTGTGCAACTTTTGAAACGAATTTGAGCAGAAATTCAAGTTTTTCTGAAAATTCTTCAAACAAATATATAACTAAAGCTTTAAGACAAATCGAGCTGAGAATTCGGCTGTACGCCTAACTTTTCATGCTCTATCTTTTTCTATTAACATTAAAATAGGTTTATGTGGAAGAAAGTGCTCAAATCGCTTCATCGAGTGTTCATCATTTTTGGTTCCTCAACTTCTTGCCCCCCTAGAAATCTACAAAATCGAAGCTTTTCTAAATCTGTTAAAAGCCTGTTTTAGAGAATAAATGAACCTTTTTATTGGTAAAAATTGTAGAATTAATTAGTGCATTATTTATTTCTAAAAAGTCCAATAAATAAGTGTACCAACTTCCAAGTTGCCAATCTAATAAATATCGATTCAGATAAAGGCTTACTATTAGAATAGTTTTTATTTAAATTTCAAAATCTTTCAGAAATCTCCCACTAGCTATCGCCATCTCAATCTCTTCATGCACAATTATTTACTTTTTAACGAATGTCGCTCTGTACACTGCGATTTCTCCTGATGAAATGCTGGAATCTCCCGCGGTTGCTGTTGTAAGTGAGAATAGAATTTAAATGACTCAACTTCTACCAGAGAACTCAAAGCTTATCAATAAGTGAAGCAGGATTCAATATTTATGGAAACTTTTAAGCTCGCAGATCGTTCATTTCGATCGCAGATTGTTCGAGCTCTTGGGCTCGCAGTTTCGCAGATCACGCTTAAAATTGGTTTATGAAAAAACAGTCAAGAAAGCATTGGATAGGAGTTTAAATAAATTCGACTTTCTAGATTATATTTACGGTTTAATGTTTAATACTCTAAAATCAATTTATCGGAACTTGATCACCAAATTTGACCAAAAGGAGTTGTTGTTGTTGTTCTTGTTTTTCTTGTTTCAATTGTCCCGGTTGTTCTTGTTTAACAATGAGAAAGTCTTCACTATTTAACAGCTTTTGAATCTACGAGACATTAGAAATGTTAGAATCACATTTCAGTTTTGATTCTTCTAAGAAAGCTTAACAAGAACAAGAACAAGAACAAGAACAACAAGAACAACAAGAACAACAAGAACAACAAGAACAAGACCAACAAAAAATTAATTCGATCTCCGTGCCGCAGCTCTTTCCACAGTTGTTTCTAGGCAAACAACAGCAAAAAAAGTAACTTAAAATTGCTAACGTTAGGCTTATTGCTAAGTTTGTTTCTTTTTAGCATTAAAATTTTACAAATTAAGTTCTAAATCTAGTAATCTATCGCATAGATCTTGAACGCCTTGTAGAAATGAAATGACTGAACTTATGGCCAAATAGAAATAGAAATAGAAATAGTAATAGAAATCTAAATAGAAATAGATTGCCATCTTTCATAAGAAAAATAGGACTGCAAATCTTTTAACTTCAAGAAACTTCATTTTCCAGCTTTTTGCTAATAAACTATTCGGCCCCTTCTCTTTCATGATGCCCATTTTTGTTGCTTGTTCGACGATTGGATCAGCTAATGGAGTAATTTACACTTCATCTAGGTAATTTGGAGTGACGTAATCAAGAGAGTTTGAATTGCAGAAAAGCATATGAAAATGTTGAGCCGAATTTTTTTTTTAGATTATTCTACGTGGGCGCGCGTGAAGGCCAAATGCCCCAAGTGTTCACGATGATCAACAAAGATACCAGGACTCCAATCCCGGCTGTTGTGCTCACTGTAATATCACTTCATTCATCCAGTATCTTCTTCAAATTCAGGGTCTTCTATCGCTTGCCTATCTCGTTTTATCAAAGGATGTCTATGCTCTCATCAATTACATTCAAATCAGTTATTGGCTAGCCATCGCTGCCGCAATTGCCGCACTTTTCTACTTGAGAAAATTGATGCCCGATGCGCCAAGACCCATCAAAGTCGTTTAACAATTAGAGCTCTTTAATTATAAGTTTTTTAGGTTAATCTCATTTGGCCATCAATTTTCTTTGTGTGTTGCTTGGCTTTGGTGGTTATTCCAATCATGGCGGCACCTGTAGACACGGGTAAGAAAATACACTGTGTCTGTCCGTTCGTCCGTCTATACGCGTGAGTTTTCGGTTCCCCGTGGGCAGATTTACATGTTTTTCAGTTTATTAGGCTTAAAGATAAAGATAAAGAAAGAAAGAGAGGGGGATCCTTTATCACCGAAGAGACGCGAGACGACGCGACTGTGTGCACTTTTCGTGTGTCTCGTAGGAAAAAGCGGCTACTGGCCTACGACCTCTACGCATAGGGCGACAGAGATCTCCAACTTCGGTTTAATTACCCAAGTTTGAGGTTAGCATTAACCCCAAGACCTTGTAAAAGTGTCTTGAAAAAATTTTGGAACGTCTCCCCAGTAAAGGGGATGCACAAAGGGAATGCGAAAGTTGAAAGTGAAGTGGAGAAGCTTTCGTGCTGTTCGTTTCACTTTGTCATCAAGCCGGTTCGATTCATTTTTAATCATTTACGGTTAATCAGTGGCGACGAAGGATATGCGATCCAATGATGAAAGAGTAAAAGAGAAAGCTCTATGTATTTGTGCATCTCATATTTCGTTTGTTAAAAACCAAATGTCATGACGCCGCCGGGAGTCGACCCCGATCGTGTAGCCCGTAGACAAGCGTGCTTTGCTCGGCAGTACAAGAATGCTTCGGACCCACCTAGCCCAACGATACCGGGCATATATAAAAGGGAAGTGTCTGTCCGTAGACAAGTGTAGACCGTAGACAAACGCGCCTACGACTGGGTCACGGCGACAAAACTCTGCGATCAGCAAAACTCGCTGTTAGGCGGGTTTTTCTGGTTAAATATAAAATAAGCGCTAGACTTGAGCTGTAGCTTATAGTAAACTAAATCCTAATTTGTTTAAATTTCAGCAATCGGATTGGGCATCATGTTGACGGGAGTGCCCGTCTATTTCGTCTTTATCGCCTGGGAGAACAAGCCGAAATTTGTGGAAGTTCTCTCAGGTAGTATTACATTCTCATTATTCCAGACGGTCTTAGTCAAAATCTAAAATTGCCAAGCCAGGCTAAAAGCTAAAAAATCGTTAGAAGAAGAATAGAACAAGTTAGATTAGAAAGAAAAAAAGCCGGATTGCTCTTTTAACGCTAAAGAAGTATCGTTAAAGAAATCAGAAGCGGCTTAAAATATCTATAATTACAATAGAAGTAAGCTACAGTAAATAAATATCGTAAATACTGTAATAGTACCCCAGCCCCATAATGCCGGTGCGGAGTGTTGCGTAGTCTAGCCTTGGGCGAGATTTTCTCGACACTGGTTTATGCTACAATGCGCGTTTAGGTATCAAAAAATAGCCCTGAATTTCAGCTTTTTTTTTGATACCAAAGACGCATTTTTTGAAAGTACGGGCGCTTTGAAAAAATGAAATACTAAAAAACTTTTGCGACTACACGACTGTACTTGTAATTGCTAATAAAGTAAACCGTAAATACTGTAATAGTACCCGACCCCCCTCGTACAGTTGCGTAGTCGCAAAAGTTTTTTAGTATTTCGTTTTTTTCAAAACGCCCGTACTTTCAAAAAATGCATTTTGCTATCAAAAAATAGCTGAAAATCAGGGCTATTTTTTGATCCCTAAATGAGCATTGTAGCATAAATCAGTGTTGAGAAAATCTCGTCCAAAGTTAGACTACGCAACACTCCGCACCGTCATTATGGGGGTGGGGTACTATTACAGTATTTACGGTAAATAGTTTTCTATAAAAATCGTTAAGCTAATTTGGCTTTTGTTTGATCTATCAAGTCAATTCGAGGCCAAAACGAGGCTTTACCTTGACTAGTAGTATTAAAATCAAGATTTAAAATCAAAATCAAGATTTTAATACTACTAGTCAAGGTAAAGCCTCGTTTTGGCCTCGAATTGACTTGATAGATCAAACAAAAGCCTAACTTAAGCTTATCAATAAAATTTTGATTTTAAAACTTCAGAATCCTTCACGATCTTCATCCAGAAAATGTTCATGGTTGTGAACGACGAGAAAGATGATTGAAATTTCTGTCAGTAAAAAGATTGTACCATTTCCAGTGCAATTTCTATGGACATCACATTGTCGATTTCAAAAGTGTTTCCTTCATGTAAAATGTAGGCTTTTAAACATGAAAGATTTACACGACACAATAAATATTAACATTAATCAAGCTATTCAACAAGGAAAATCCCAAAATCACAAAATCACAAAAGAACAAAAGAACAAAGAGCAGAAAAAAAACCACGTTTCACTCAGCCGTCAAAGCCCGTTTCTAATTGTAAAATGAAAACGATAAAAAGCTCTAGAATCACAACACAAAAACACAATAAGACAAGACATTTATAGATTAAATTTAGAGATTTGAAGATTTGAAGATTTGAAGATTTGAATTTTTCAGAATAATTCTTTTTTATCATTTATTTTTAGCTTATCATTGGTTTTTTAATGAAAATTAGTGCAAAATGGAAAGTGAAAATGACTTTTAGCTGACTTTAGCTGAAACTGACCTTTAGCAACTTTAGCTGACTTAGAATAGTCATTAAAGCTTTCGATTTTGCACTATCTTTTTCAAAGCTACAGTAGCTACAGTAAGACTAGCTTTTCAACTTGGTGGAATCTTTTTCTCTTCTACATTTCCCGGATACGATGGAGGTGGACTTCTCAACGGTTTCTGAAGAAATAGCTTTAAAAATTCGATTTCGGTTAGAAGAAATTAGCAAGATTACGATCGTGTGATGGATCGAAAGTTGACTTTTTTTGACGTTAAAGAGCACGTGTGGCTGACTGGTTAAGTGTCTTTTATCTTAATCGGAAGGTCGAGGGTTCGAACCCCACATGCGACATGGTCACCCCCTTCGGATTTCCTTTCCCTTCGGGTTGAGAGGTTTTCTGGAGGGCAGTCTGGTGGTTGTGGCCCCAGTTCTTTAAAGTGACAAGCCACTCCTTCATCGTCATCTTCCCTTCACCACCAAAAAAGCTATTTAGTTCTCCATTGAGCTTAGGGTTAGGGAGCCGTCTGTCATGACGTGGGTTAAGTTAAGATATAGCCTAGTATTGTGTGTGTCGTTGTATTGTGATTGATATATTTCGTGTATGCGATAAATTCACCACTGGTAGCCCCAGTCGGTATTTTTTTTTAAAGCTACCGTAATCTTGAGTAATCCTTTTTTAAAATCACATATTTTAGCAAAAAGCTTTTAGAAATCAAGGGAAACTCTCGTCTAAACGTTCTGCTATTGGTTAAACAATGGGTTAACTGGTTAAACATTGCTATGGGTTAACAAACTCACTTTCTGACTTGACGAACAAATTCGACCACATGAGATCAAGATGAGCAACTATAAGTTTAGTTGTGCTTAAGATACAGATACCGTATTTCTTCGAATAGAAGACCGGGTAAAGAGTATGATCGCGTACTCCTGCGTAGCAGCCCTTTTTAAAATTTCTTTTCTGCATAAAAGCTTTCAATGAAGTGCTCTAGAACTGAAAAATGACTCAAAAATACCACATGAGCTAACAGATTTTTGAGCCATTTTCCAGCTCTATAGCACTTCATTGAAAGCTTTTATGCAGAAAAGAAATTTTAAAAAGGGCTGCTACGCAGGAGTACGCGATGATACTCTTTACCCGGTCTTCTATTCGAAGAAATACGGTATTCTTACTAGATATAGGAAAATTTCAAGCCGAACCTAATTCCACCTTCGTTTTCTCGGTCATTTCTTGACCGATTACTCTGTGTCTAGATTTCTATCTGTAGACAAAATTTCAGACGTTTCAGAAGATCGATCAAGAAAACAAAGATGGATTTCGGTTTGGATTGGAATCTTTCTTATGTCTAATCTTTACCGGTCTATAGAAGCATGGGAAGCAGAGAACGGACAAAATGGTGATAATGAACGGGAGATAGAGCATGAAATAGTCCCGATTTCCCATGAATTGAAGACCAAGCGTGAGCCAATATTCATTACCGCCTGATGGAAGGCCACCTAAAGAGAAGGATTTATATTCTTAAGGTTATCTCTTTTTTTATAAATGTTTATAAACGAAAAAGTGCGTTTGCGAAGTGAGTGACTGGTACATGCAAGTTTGACATGCTTTTGTTTCATTTTTTTTTCATTTCCCTTTTTGAAATGAACTTTGAAACTGATCGTGAACTATTAAATAAATGAGTTTTATTTGATATTTATTTGATAACATAAAAAGAACTTAAGATCTTCATTACCTGTACTTATTCCAAAGCCATCTGAAAAGAGTTTATAAAAAATTCATTGGATTTAGATCAATTTAAGATCAAAAAAAAACAAATTTAGATCATTTTTCTTTAAAGAAAAGTACCAGATGTAAACATTTGCATGAGTTCGAGCATCTCATCAGCGAAATTTGTGAAGAGGAATTGAACGAGAGGGACTGAGACATATGGGATGATGAGAACCTGAAAGAAAAGTTGATAAGCGATAGAGCGATTCGCCGGCTATTGTAATCTACTATAAGATTTATAGAAATGACTTAGATAGATCTATAGATTCGATCGATCTATAGATTTATAAATCTATTTTACTCTAACTAAAAGTTAGTTGATGGTAACCTCTCTTGGTTACTGTAGCACTTCTAAGGAAAAATGCGATAACGACAGATCAAAAAATCTGAATTCTGTGAAATGTTGTGTGCACTCCAGCTAAGAAATTCGCAAAAAATGAAAGATTTCTGAGCGTTCACAAAAGAGGAATAAGCGCCCGAAGATTTGAGGGTAACATGTGGGCAAATTATCATAACTCAAAGGATCAAATCGCTAGACTTTCCTCGTTTTTTTAAAAATTCAATTCAATTTACCCATCTTACTTTAATCATGAATGCAGTTAGATTGTTTTATTTTATTAACCACTCCTATATCATTTAAATCAAATTCTTTAAACAATCTGTGACAGAAGTGAAAACTTAACTTTGCTGCATCGTTCACTGAAGGAATTAGCACAAAGTAAATTTGAAAAAACAAGAAAAGGCTAGCGATTTCGCAGCGATTTGATCCTTTGAGTTATGATAATTTGCCCACATGTTACCCTCAAATCTTCGGACGCTTATTCCTCTTTTGTGAACGCTCAGAAATCTTTCATTTTTTGCGAATTTCTTAGCTGGAGTGCACACAACATTTCAAAGGATTCAGATTTTTGATCTGTCGTTACAATTTTTTGTACTTGTAGTGTGTAGCTTGAGTTACTGTAAAATCGTTTAACTGGGAGACGAGTCATGCTTTAAAGAGCAGAAAGAAAGTTCGCGGAAGGGGGAAAGTTTGCAATAAGTTGAGATACAACGATTAACCTTTGGAATGATACCATAGATGAAAACGAGCCACATTTTTAAGACTGGAAGCATGAAGAACTGAAATGATTCAAATTTTTAGCTACCAAACTTTAAAAAAGAACTCACCTCTGTTTGTGGATCTTTATGTTTTCGTCCAAAAATCGGGATGAGACATGAGAGGACGAGGGTGGCGATGAAATGAATCAACCAGAGAAGATACGCCAAGACATAGGTCACACAGAGGAGACAATCGATCGGATCATACCACCAAATGGTTGTTGTCATTTGATACTAAAAATTTAAAAAAATTATTAGACTCCTATTAGCATATGGACACTAGAAACTACAAAAATGACAAACAGTCACACTATAAACACTTCTAACTTGTTTCAAATCTGCTGGATTGACATAATCTATGGCTTAAAAAATAGAGAATTTCAAGAGCTTTCGAATCGACTAAAGCACATTCAAAAAGATGAATGCTAAAGAAAGTTATAGTGGTTTGCAGTCTTACTTCGAAACAGACCGTATTCGCGCGTAGTCGAAGCGCTGTAACTTTCTTTAGCATTGAGATTTTTGAGTGTACTTTAGTCCATTCAAAAGCTCTTGAAATTCTCTATTTTTTAAGCTATAGATCTGTCAATCCGACAGAGTTTGAAGCAAGTTAGAAACGTTTATAGTTTACGTTTATAGTGCCAATGTCTAGCAAAAACCTTGGCAATAAAGCAGAAGAGCTGAATCCCGTTCAAGACCGGAATATAGAAAATGAACCAGATGATATTGTAGACGATCGAGTATTGAGCTTTTGGATGATTTATATAAAGGATTGAGCTGACGATTGACTCAATGTAAAGAAGACAAAGAGCTGAATTTGCATTGAAATTGTTGACTTCCATTGTTGACTTTTCACTTACATCCAGTGATCGTTGAGATGGCCAATTCTTGGAAGTATGTGTTGTATTGGTTTGACGATTCGGGATCGAAGCCAAGCCAACCTTTCCACGGGGAATGATCGGCTCCATCCGCATTGAGCATCTGCAAAAACCAGAAAGTCCTTTGTTTTAAAGAAATGGCTCACTTACCCCATACCAGATCATCCACAATTAGACCAATTAGAGCCTTATGCCCCAATGTAAAGATTAAGCTAACCCCCTTCGGAGTAAGGGAGATCAAGTGCGTTTTAAAGAAATGGCTCACTTACCCCATACCAGATCATCCACAACAAAACATTCAACACCATCCATCGTCGCACGTCAAGTCCGCTAGAAAAGTTATTTATTTTTTCTGAACTTGACTACCGTAGCCCTAGCTCTGACTACCGTAGCGAATTTGTCGTTTTTACAGTGATCCAACTCATTTGTGGTAAAGATGATGGTTACAATAAATTTTGAAACTTTTTTTTTTGGTTGGGTAGGCACTTTAAAGGCTGATTCTAACTACCAAGTCATACCAAATAAGGGTGATTGGATTGACGAATTACTCGCCCAGTTTGCCTGCTGTTTAAGTCAAACTAAGCTTTGCCGGGATTCAGAATTTCTAGCGGGGGTTCGGCCATTGGGGGCGAAAATCATCTCAGGAATTTCGAAATAGTGGCTCCGAAATACGCGTAATCGGCTGAGTCTGCCCGCATCTTCTCCTTTACGGATTCCAAATTGGAAGCCACTTATGCTGAAGGAGTTTTCCAGATGGCGAGCGATTACGCCGCACAAAGAACATTTTGATGATTTGCATAGTGATTTTGATTTGTAGATGGCCTCAAAAGAAGATATTCAGCTGTGAATTGGTACCCAGGGTTTTCGGGGTCGGGGAATCGGGCTATTCAATTTTATCGAGTCTACCAATTAGAGCTATTCGATTTTATCGAGTCTACCAATTAGAGCCTTATGCCCCAATGTAAAGATTAAGTTAACCCCCTTTGGAGTAAGGGAGATCAAGTGCGTTGTGATATAATGGTTAGCCCATTTGCCTGGTAAGCAAAAGCGAAAGGTCGCGGGTTTGAGTCGAGTTTTTGATCTGTCCTAATTTCAACTATTATACCGCATAAACAGATACAAATATCTAAATCGAAACTTAACTCAATTGCTTACCGTAGTCCGACAGCTGCCACGTAGATAAAGATGATGATGACGGGTGCCGTCACTCCATACACAACTCCATAGTACGGTTGAAGGGGATCCACGTGCGCTGAAAAAGGATTTCAAATTCATATTCAAATTCAAATTCATAGTTTTGGTTCTAACTAATTCTTTTTTTTTGTTTTTTTTTTGTTTTCAATTTCACTATCAATTCCGAATTTCGAGAATGATTGGCCAATTTGATTGTTACCCGGACAACCTTCTCTGTCGAGAAAGAGAGAGAGAAATGGTGACTTTTCGGAATTCTTCAAATGTCAGGTGGAAAGAAAAAAAGATTGTAAATTAAAGTAAAACAATTCTAAAATCTAAAATCAAATGAGTAATTAAGTTTTAATAGTTTTTGCTTAAAACTATTCGATATTGAAAGCTCAAAATGATCCTTATATAATAAAGTTCCTTTCTTTCAAACAAAAATCTTCTAAACTGTGCTAGGCTGTCTGGTTTCTTTTCTAAAGTTTTAAAAACTACCGTAACCTTGTCTTGGATGTTAGTTTTGTGCTTCTGAACTTCGTGAACACTTGAAGAATCTCAGAGCATAGATTCGGTAGACAAGATTGTGATAGTTTTTTGGAAATTAAACTTTTGAAGGTAGTAACTTAGTTTAAAGTTTGAAAAAGAAATATATTCTGACTGTTTATTTGAAGTTAATTTTATTCAATGGTTCCAATATGGCTCCAATATGGCTACAATATGGCTACAATATGGCTACAATATGGCTACAATATGGCTACAATATGGTTCCAATATGGCTCCAATATGGCTCCAATATGGCTCCAATATGGCTCCAATATGGCTCCAATATGGCTCCAATATGGCTCCAATATGGCAAACGAACTGTGATTGGAGGCTCGAAACGATTTCGGGACAACCGTATTCAACAACAACGGTACAACGAGAATAGAAAGCAGAAAAAATGAGCCGATGAATGTGTGAGTGAATGAAAGATTCCTCTTCTTTCCACCAATCGAAATCCCTTCACTCGAATATTTATTTTCGTGAATCGGTGTCATTTTTACATCGATTGCGTCAAAACGAGCTGATTCGACCATTTTAGAGAATATTCATCGAAAGAAAATTGCTCTCCCATAGAGATTCTCAAATTTTTAGCTTTTCTGGACATCATTCTTCAGAGAATATCAGCTGCTTGTCAGTTTTTTCAAAAAAAAAACTCAGTATTACTGTAGTTGTTTATGAATTTTCAGCTGTCTTTTGGGGAATTCTTGATTGAAAACTGTGCTGACGCCAATGAATAGCCGAACAAATTCGATTTGAAAAAGATTAGTTATAGAAACTTTTGGTAATTTCAGCAATGAGACAGCTTCTAGGACTTTTAAAATTTGATCATTGAGTTTTAAAGAATAATTTGCAAAAGAGAGACCCTTTGAGAGACAAAAAGGGGAGTCTCCCTACAAAAAGTGATTACAGTAATCATTAATTTACGCAAAACTTTCTGTAAACCACTAATTAGTGACGAGTTTTAAAGAAAAGGATTTTTTTCTTATTGCTTGAAGGCGTTGATTAAACAAATCAGCGACAACGATTGGATGGATGAAAACTTGAACTGTTAGTAATCGTTACAGCTTTTCAAAGCATTTGGGATGATTCAACCAATTTCTGCAAGTCAGGGGTACCCGTCTAGAACTTGTATGGAAGCCAGGCTAGAACTTGGCCCAAGCCTAGAACTTGGCCCAAGCCTAGAACTTGGCCCAAGCCTAGAACTTGGTTCAAGCTTGGCCCCAAACCAGGGTCAAATCAGAACGGGTTCAGGCCCGGGTTCTAGCTGATCCAATTACCTTTGTGGGACAGGCCAATCCAGCAAAGCCAGACCAAGACCGGATTGGAATCTAGGTTGGATCTATTTTTCTTCTGGTTGGCTCAGGTACTTTTATGGATCAAGACCAGACCAGAAAGCATTTAGAACATTCTTGATTACAACTGGTCTATTAATTTCTATACAAACAAAAAACTTGTATGGAAAACAGCCAATTATGCAGCTATTGCTATATTCAAGGACACAAATCAAAACGATGAATCTACAATTACTCACCATGTGTTGCATTAGTCGATGTTGTGATCTGGGTGGAGGTTGAGGGGATTGAAGTGGTTGTGGAGGGGTTCAAGCTTATGGTAGAATTTGATGTGAAGGAGAAAAGATCAGTTGTCTTATCAATTTCTATTATAAAAGGGCTTGTTGTTGTAAAGTTTATCACCGATTCGTTTAACAATTTAACCGCCGATTCGGCCATTCTCGTGATCAAATTTTCGGGCTTTTGAGTGTTCGATTCTGAATCGATTCCCAAGAATTGATAAATATCAGGAGTGACAGCTTGTTTTGAAGCCGATTTTCTCGATTCTGAATCGAAAATTGCTCCGGCAAAGCGAGCTGAGCTTTCCATTTCTTGAATTCTTCTCAAATTCTTCTGAAAAGTCAATGATTGAATAAGAAAAGAGAGAAAGAAAGGAAAGAATTTCAAATTGTTAAAGAATTTCAAAACTCTACCACTCAAAAATCAATTTGATTTAGACAATTTTTGTAGTCAACGTAGTTGTTCGTTTGTAAAGGAAAAAGGAGGGAAAAAAGGTTGAAATCGACAAAATTGAGTACAGAAATTGACTGTGTTTTAAAAAGAAGGGAGTCATAGAAACGAAAAGTGGAAAATGTTTTCGTCTTTTACAAGGAAATTCCCAATTTTCAATTTGTAGCCTTTGATGAAAATGAAGAAAAATATTGAGACGGTATACAGGGAAAATGGGAAGTGAGTGGCGAGTGGGGAAACCTTTCAGATCATTGCTAGTAATTGAGCTTGAAAGTAAAGGGAATAAGTGATAGTGATACATTCTTTTTTTTTCCATCACTGATTGAGCCATTTGTCTAGAGTGTTTTGCAAGATCGATTCTGCTTTTTGATAACGATCAATCGATCAATCGATCTGTCATCAAGAGATCTGTCAAACTACCAAATGACTATGACTCTTTTAAACGATATTTAAACGATATATTGAGACGGTATACAGGGAAAATGGGAAGTGAGTGGCGAGTGCGGAAACCTTTCAGATCATTGCTAGTAATAGAGTTGAAAGTAAAGGGAATAAGTGATAGTGATGCATTTTCTTTTCCACCACTGATTGAGCCATTTGTTTAGAGTGTTTTGCAAGATCGATTCTGCTTTTTGATAGCGATCAATCGATCAATCGATCTGTCATCAAGAGATCTGTCAAACTACCAAATGACTATGACTCTTTTAAACGATCTTTCTGAACTCTTTTGAACTCTTTTGACTATCAAATGACTCTTTTTTAACATCTAAGCTATCACCAATCTCAAATACTAAAACTTATCAATAAGTGAAGAAAAGTGTGTACTCGGTAAGCTATCGATTAGACTTGTCAACAAGGCTTAACGAGGCTTCAAGTTTGACCAGACATATCAGCGCATTGAAATTTGCTAGCAATCTGAAACTTTTTCTATCAAAAAGCTTACATTCTCAGCTTCATTTTAATACTAAAAATTCCACAAAAATCTTTTAAAAAAGTACTCTAAAAAGGTTATCGATAAGGCCTCGTTAAGGGTAGTAATTTTAAGGTTTAATGTGATTTTTTGGATAGAATTTTAAAGATTTCTTTCAATATTTAGTATTAAAATGAAGCAAAGAACAGAAAAAGACAGAAAAAGTGTCAGATTGCTAACAACTTTCAGTGAGCAACCCCAAAATATCGTTAGCCATGTCTACTATCGATATCAACATTCTCTTGAGAATCAAGATTATCGTTAACTTATCCACTCGATTTTCAAACTATACCCTTGTCACTCGAATTTAGGCTCGTAATTAACACATTTAAACCCAGTCGACTTAGCCGACTGGCTAAGAGCTTTGTAGCTTAGTCAGGAAGTCATGGGTTCAATTCCACCAGCTTGAATTTTAAATTCTCTAAATTTAAGCCTGCTTGATAGCCTGATATATTATTTGTAAGACATTATTCGTGCGAATAAATGTATTTGAATTCATCAAGCTTATCCTGTCCATCAGTGGCAGTTCTAGGCTTAACTAAATGAGCACAGCTTCCAGTAAAGACAAGTTGCATAGCTTCAATCAGACACCATTCAATAATGGTCTAGAATTCAATAAAGACACTTCAATTCTCTCAGTAACCGTTGGATTTTAGCGTTTACAACATTTCTCTTGTACGAAAATCATTTCTTTTGATTATAAATCTACATACCGTAAATACTAAGAGAATTGAACTGTAATAGTACCCCACTCCCCTCGTACAGTCGCGTAGTCGCAAAAGTTTTTTAGTATTTCATTTTTTTTCAAAGCGCCTGTACTCTCAAAAAATGCGTTTTGGTATCAAAAAATAGCTGAAATTCAGGGCTATTTTTTGATACCTAAGCGCGCATTGTAGCATAAACCAGTGTCGAGAAAAACTCGTTCAAAGCTAGACCACGCAACACTCCGCGCCGTCATTATGGAGGTGGGGTACTATTACAGTAGTTACGGTATCTATATTTACATACAAATTTTTCCATCCTATGCAGTAGTTTTCAATTTAAACTTTTCATAAACGAACTTGTATCACCACCATAGTAATCGCTGGGTGCGTAGTATTGAACTTGATAATAATCCGTTGATTTCTTCTTCTTTGAGTCTCCTTCTTCCACATAAAATGCGAAGAACAACAGCAGTACCCACCAGAGACGCAACTTCGGCATCTAAAATTCAAGAAATACCTCTTAACAATTCTAAAACGATCATGCAAAAGTTAGCTTTAAAAAAAAACAGATTTTAAAATCAATCGATAAAAGAAAACTTCTTGTTTGTCACAATTTTTAAAGGAATCTCGAGAGTCGAGACGTCTTCTACCGTATTTTTCATATCACCTGTTTCTTCTGCCCCTTTTTTCTGTCAGGTGTTTCATTTTTATCTAGACATTTTTTGTAATTAACTTTTCAGCATTTCACTTGCAGTCACCTCTGACCAAATGCGAAAATTTGAGAAAGAAACTTTCAGAGGTTTTTGAGTAAAGGAAAAAGTTTGTGAAAGTTTTTGGAAGTTTCTTGATGAGTCATCATTGCCGTACTTCAAGAAAACCATACTTCAAGCAATCAAAACAAACAAAGTTTTTTACTTTTTTTGTAAAATTATTGAAGATCGTTTTTGAGACTTGCTTTGCGCTTTGTTTCTTTTTCTTTTTCGCTTTTTTTTGCAGCTCCAAGAGTCTTGGCTTTGATAATTAGAAAATATTTCTTGTTCAAGAAATATTTTCTAAAATTCATCAGTTTGTCCTTAATAGAATATGGCATATCTAGAAGGGAAAATCTTTCAAAAATTCAGTCGTCTACAAGCAGTTTTATGCTCCAGCCTTTAAAAGTTTTCTCGGATATCCATGGGTAAAAGGTGGATACGCTACAACAAAACCCAGAGATTTCTCGTAAGACATTTTGATGTCTTACGATATACTTTTCAAAGATTTAATTGGCGGATACTCGGGAGATTTATACCCGAATGCACCAGTCATTCGCTTCAGAACCCCATCACTCACCATCAGAGAGTTTCCATAAATTTTCTCGTTTCTCCTAAACGGCTTCAAGACAGTGCTAATAAATAATCGATAAATAATAGAAAAGAAAAAGAATTGTACAACAAACAAACGAAACTAATTAGCATAAATGACTATCAATGACAAAACATTTAAAACAAAACAAAAATTTTCATCGAGTGAGCACAGCGAATGAATGTTGCATTCGGGTATAAATCTCCCGAGTATCCGCCAATTAAATCTTTGAAAAGTATATCGTAAGACATCAAAATGTCTTACGAGAAATCTCTGGGTTTTGTTGTAGCGTATCCACCTTTTACCCATGGATATCCGAGAGAATTTTTAAAGGCTGGAGCATAAAACTGCTTGTAGACGACTGAATTTTTGAAAGATTTTCCCTTCTAGATATTCCATATTCTATCCTTTCATCCTTTTTTTCTTCTCCATCACAATGATCAGCCTTCAGATCTAAAAGTTTGCTAAAAAGGCTAATAGCAGACCACAAACGCACCCATAATTGAATCATTTGTCTCAACAAGTGTCTTTTGTTCATCACACGATCTTTCATCGATTGATAATGAAATCAAGGGTGCAAGCCTTTGTACTCTAATCTAGTCGTTTAGTTTATTTTTCGATCCTCACCAAATTATCAGTAAAATAGTAACGACTAGGTGGTTGTAAGCTCAAAACGTGGGCGTTAAAAATGTGTTACTATCTATTCGCTACAATGTCAACCACTTTTCACCCCTGAAATTCCTCAAAACCGTTGCACTGTCGGAGTCAGAGCTCGGAGTCGGCCAGAAAATCCTCATCGGGAGAACACATTTTGGCTCCAAATAGGTATATGCAAACAAAGATTTTTTGGGGAAAACGCAAATTTGAAATAAGGTATAACGAAGACACTCGCGCGATTTTTGCAGAAAAAAACGAAATTAGGGGCACCTTTTAGATGGAAAATATGAATGGAAATGTGTCAGAGATTGAATACGATAATATCTGGTGATACTTTAGAAATGCGATCAGTCTGAAAAAGATAGGGAACAATTGGATTGTATTTTTATCCGCCAGGTCACCAATAAGTATGTGCAAAACTGAAAAAAAACATCAATTATGCCTATTCTTTTCAAAGGGATAACAGCGAGAATTTGACTGCGCCAGAAAGGGTGCGTTTCAGATCTAAGCATTAGTACTCAATTAGATGACTCCCACTTTATATTTGACAATTCTAAAAGGTACCTTCTTGGTTTCCAGGCCATCCTTTCTTTTCATTTCAGAAGCTTGCTGTCAAAATTGAATGATGCTTAATCTAACTATTTTTAAAAATACAAAAACAAATTCATTCGAAGCGTAAATTAAATCAAGAAATTTTCAATAGAAATTGTTTACAAATCACTTAAATAAATTCACGTTATTAGAGAATAGAACATTTGGCCTTCTTGGTCTTCTTGGTCTCCTCGGTTTCCTTGGTTCCCTTAGTCTCCTCAAGTCCCACCTTTTCGTATTCCTCTAACTAAAAGAAAATTGTGTATGTTGATAAATGTTAAGAGAATAGGAGAAACTGACATAGATCAATGCGTTTTCCATCGAATGTCCAGCGACAATTTGATAACATTGAGTCCCTGCAAGCGAATGTGCCCCTGTAAGCGAAGTTTGAGACAAAGGCCATCGATATATTAGGTTGATGCATAAGTCTTTTCGTTTTTTTCGTACTTCTGTTAAAAAGTAACAAATGCACCAATTGAACTACGGTTGATTTCATTAGAAAAGCCAATTATTTTTCTGCAAAATAACATTAAAACGGGTTTAAAAATATTTAATGCCTGGATTTTCTTGAGAGTATGAAGTCGGGTAGTCAAAAAGGGCTAACTCGATGATGCGGTTTAGACACCTTAGCTAAAGAAAACCTATCTTCGTGTCAATAGATAAAAGATAGAGAAAAAAAAGTTTGATATTTCGCCAAAATTTCAGAGAAATTCATTCAGCCAATTTTTCCGTAGAGTTTTTTATAGATTTTTACGAAAAAGGCGTTTTTCACTCTCGAATTTGCTTCTTGAAAGTGAACCGAAATTCATTTAAAAAGATGCAAATTGAACAAAAAAACACTTTTTATTTAGAGAAAAGCATAGGTTAATTGGTGAATTTGTTACTTTTTAACAGAAATACGAAAAAAACGAAAAGACTTATGCATCAACCTAATACCTACCTTTAAGACAAAATCCGAGAAACTCCTTGCCATTTAATTTCTGGTAGGCAGGACCCCCAGAAAAACCGGGCATTTCCGCAGAAGTACCGCCATAGTGACCGTTTTTGTCATACTCCCGGGACGTGACAGTGCCCGGAAGAAACGATGGTTCTAGAAGAGCATCCGCTGGCAAAGCCTTTTCGCTCCCATCTCGATAGCCCTAAATTAAATTTTATCTTAAATCTTCCATATTTATTTGCTATTATATCAATTGATGATTATAATGAAAAATGATTTTGAACCAAACGATTTTCCATATTAGTTATTTCTATGGATCCATTTCAAAAATAAGCAAAAGATGGTTATTATAAATAAAAACTTAGCAAATTTGCTTTTATTTATTGAATACAACCAACCATGATCAAATAGTGAGTACCGTCGATGACATTTGTAGAAACATATGGAACATCCTCGGCAAGCTTCTCATCCGATTCCAAAAGCAAATAATCTCGAAATGAACCCTTGAATACCACCTTTGTTTCGAACTTATTTCCATCTAAAACTCCTTCATATAAACCAAATTTCTGTATAATAAATAGCAAATCAACCTTCGCAATAATAAAAAAAATTTTTTGCATACCTTTGTCATAAATATTCACAGTCGACCCTTTCTTAATGTTCTCATGCGCTCCATGGTTCCAAGTGGCAGCGAAGTGTCGGTCCGGAAAGGAAGTGATACGGAAAAGACCAACCGGAGTACGCAAAGAGTCGTTTTCCTCGATTTCTCCATCAGGCTTTGCGTACGACTTCGAATAAAAGAGAAATTTCTTCATTTCCTGAGCGAATCTTCCTAAATAATATTATTTTAAAGGATAATTTAAACATTATTTCTTTTATTTTAAAAATTAGTGCTTTACGGATAACGGGGTGGGGGAGGGGGGTAAGTTTTTTGGCCAACTTGCAGCCCGATTTTAGATAGGTTTTTGTTAATAGCTTGTGAGAAAACAAAGCTGGATTTCTGAAAGCTACCGTTATAAGCTATCTAAATCTTATTAAAACTTTTGACTTGACAAGTTTAAGGTGCTTAAAATGAGCTGCAAGATGGCCAAAAAAACCTATCGTAAAGAACCTAAAATTTAGTAATTTCAAAACTCGATAGTTTTTATTAATTCGCATCTTAAATTCGAACATACCATTTTGCACATCTGCGACTCCCACATTTGCCATTTAATCGAAAACACGGAACACTAAATTAATTAATTAAAGATTTAAAGCAAATTAAAGGGTTAAAAGATTTAGCAGTTAGCAGAGAAGGTTTCGACGCAGAAAGCAAATGTTTGGAACCGTAGAATTCACTAAAACTTCCTTATTGTCTAGTAACGTATTACGGTTCCAAAAATCTACATTCTGCGTCGAAACCTTACCCAAGCTGCTAAATCTTTTAACTCAAAAACACTAATTCCAAATGGTTGCCAAAATGAGAAGAATAACAAGACGATGCGCGGCTGAGTTAGATTGACTGGCGTTTATTGAGAAAGGATCTTTAGATTTTTAATAACTTTATCGGTGATATGAAAGACACGGGTCTGAAGAACCACAAAGTGGAAAGACCGAGAAAAGTACAGAAACTCTAAAAATTTAACAATTTTAAGAAGAGAACAGGGAGGGGATGGAAAAAATACAAGGAGAAGGGAACAATAAACACAAACAATATTTACAAGAGAATAGCACGAGTAGAACACGAGCGCAGAAGACAGGGCGACGATTCTTCAAAAGAATAAATTTTTGGAGGGATGGGGCTTGGTTTTATAGGGGAAAAAGGGTGACACCGTCTTGAGTACGGTAGCTTAGGTGTATCTTAGAATTTAGCTGGAAAGTACTCGTACTCGAAATGCGGGAATGGAGGTTTTTCTTGTTCCTTGAATTATACTATTTCATTTCTTTGTGCCTTTACTAAAACTTTTATGAATTTATTTGTAACATTGTAAATTTAAATATCTTTTTGGAAATGATCTGACTTAGTTTCAACTCTTTTGGCTAGACTCTTAAAGTTTAGGTATTTAGGTGTGCCAAAATACGAACGAATGGTCAGCGAGCCTAATTATATGATTGATTGAATAAAACAAGAATCCGATGACCTGGTATACAAAAGTCAAAAAGTAAACCTCGGTGGCGGGTCGAAAATCCTCGGATTGTGCTCAGCGAAATTCCATTCTCATCTACCGTGATCGATGTGATTAACGGAAAGATGAGCATTAACAGTGTTTTCACAAATTTTTAGCTGTTTCTTTTTTGTTGCTAAAGTTGTTTCTTTTTAGAACGATTTTCAATTCACCAACCCAATAGTTTAGAGTGTTAAGGGAGTCGAGGAGGGCCAAGGGTATACTGTCAATAAGTACCTTGAGTCTTATTTTTAATTCCGAGGGTTTCTCTGTTATGTAGAATCAAAATTTAACGTTATTTAAACCTTTCAAATGACTACTTTCTCACAAATTAAATTAATCAAATGCTTTATTTGTTGTAGTGATTCAAGTTAATCAAAAAAAAAAAGTCCAAAAAATCGAGTAGTCAATAGTCCTACTTGTGGACATGGAGTCAGGGGTTGTGTTCCCATCGGGTTTCTGCTTTTCAAACTGACATTTCATTGTCAGTGCATTGGCCGTCAGGGTTGAGAGTTTTAACAAAGGAGTTAAATGATAACCTGTCTCCGGTCGGACCACTCATTCCCAATCAGGGATTTCAGTCTCATATTAACCCCCATTGGTGACAGTGCGCCAGATTGGAAGCGATTGAGTGAGAAAAGGGGCTCTTTGTGATTGCGTATCTCGGTGAATCACCTTTTGATCTTTGTAGCATTCAGTAAACTGCATTAGACAGCGACACAACAACTACAGATAACACTTAACAAGTGCTTCACGATCTCATTTTTTAGAGTTCAATGAGTTTCAAAGAGTCAGAAATAGATATGTCAAAATACAAATCAAAGATAATTTCAAAACATCAAAGACAAAAGTCCGCCCGTCCTTTGATCACTAGAGCACATCTATTTTCTTCTATTTTACAACGATTCAACTAAAGTCAATATGAAAAATGGATGTTGAGCACTTCTTTGTTGAAGAGCTTTTGCAATAACGATCAGTCAATGTGTTTCAATCGGCTTTTAACTTTTAAATGTCAGTTTCATAAAATTAGATATAAAACATGACACTTTGGACTTGACTCAACTCGAGTCTAATCCAGGGAAAGGGATCAAATCGGTGGGCGGTTGGTGAAGCGATTGATCGTTATTGCAAAAGCTCTTCAACAAAGAAGTTCATCATCCATTTTTCATATTAACTTTAGTTGAATCGATGTAAAATGAAAGAAAATAGATGTGCTCTAGTGATCAAAGGACGGGCGGACTTTTGCAAGTCATTGTTCATTTTTGAATAAAATTAGAAAAAAGTTTCTTTTGTGTGTGGGCGATCCGAGTGTTCTCCAGTGACATTATGGGGTATAAAATGGGCGATGAACGGATAGGAAAGCACTCATTTCTGGGCTCATCCACATCATTCATCAATTCTCACGATGAAAATCCTTCTCACGTTGGCACTCTTCGTTTCAAGTTAGTCTGTTTAAGGTTTGAGTAACTCTAATGTCAGCCACTTTGCATAACAAATGCAAATTCGAATATGAAACAGAAAAGTCACAAGTAGACCATGGGTACAAAAAATTTAGTTCTTTTAAGAGATAGAATTCTAAGAGCTTGAAACTGTTATCAATTAGAATCAAATAAATCAAATAAAATCAAATAAAATCAAATAGAATCAATTAGAATAAAATATAACCAAATAGAATCAATTAGAATGAAATAGAATGAAATATAATCAAATCAAATAGAATCAATTAAAATAAAATATAACTAAAAAAAATGAATTAGAATCAATTAGAATCAAATAGAATATTGCAAACTTGGGCATAGTACTGTTAACAAAGGTTGTAAAATGATAGTAGAATATGAAGAAGTAAATTTAGTAAATGATAGTAGCAAATCTTTAGCCATCGCGGGGGCAGCTGTTGTCTACACAGTTGCCGATCAATCCCATCTTCTCAGTGTGAGTTTTTTGAAAAAAATTACTGAAATGATTTTACATTCTTTACACTTACATTACATTGTTCAGACATTCAATGCACTTCGCTCAAAATGTGCCAAGGGAACACAAAGATGGCACAATTACACATGGGAGTATGATGCTCAATATGATGATGTCAGTTGTTTCAATATCATAATCAATTATTGGTTGTTGTCCATTATCAGATAGATTGTGTGTGAGTGCTGATAGGGTACTAAAATATCAATGTATAGTGTCTCTTTAACTCACTAACGAGCAACCGTTTTAGACTGTTCCAGACCCACCAGTCAGATACTATCCAAAGGCCACTCGAATGTATCAATTGGTTTGTTATCAACATTTCAACAAAGAATCTTTCTTTTTGCTCAGAAATGGAATGCAACGTTGGCAGCAGCTGCTCGTAGCCGTTTGAATACACTGTCAAACAAACAGATGACAGGGACAGTGCCGGCAAATGTTGGAGAGATCACATATGGAGTCGAGTATGGAGTGGCACCCAATACAATCCCTGCTGCCAAGATTTGTATGTTATCGTTGTAAAAGGATAAAAGATCTCAACTTATTTGACTTCTTTATCGAATAATTTCAGTCGACAATGCCTGGGGTCAATGGGGAGCACTTTTCAATTGGCAAGGACTTGACAAATTTGCCTATTCAGCATCCACCGATCAATATGAAATGTATCAGGTAAATTCGCTAAATCTGACTTCTTTTTGCATTCAATTCATTGCTTAAATTCGAAATTCGAAATCTTCGAAATCTTCAGTTGATCGCTGATCTAACGACTCAAGTTGGTTGTGCCTACGTGAACATTACCTCCTCTGGACAATATGCCACCGTTTGTCAATTCTATCCAAAGTAATTCTATTCGCTTTCATCCTCTTTTAAAAAATCGTATCCTTTATATCCATTTACATACATTGTAAGTGTTGTTGACTAAACTTTAAGTCAAGATATTCAATTTAAATCAATCTCTATTTTATTTTCTAGGAGCCTCGTCGCTGCCAAAGCAGTCTACACAAATGGAGTTACCAGTTGCTCAGCTTGCCCAAAAACCACAGCCCCATGTGTGCCCACTACTGGATTGTGTGCGATCAAGGCTATTGGATAAATGATGATTTTATGAAAATGTTGATTCAAATAAATATCTGCATCGAATCCAAGAGTGATCTTATGTATGCCAGAAGGTTTATGTTTGTGTCGCAAAATTAACCGCTGTTCTCATTGATGAGTGCACTCGAATCTCAACGTTTCGCAAAACAAAGTTACTCTTGCAGTTTCTGGGTTGTACAATTTATTAATTGCATATTGTGGCTTTCCATATTATCAGCATTATTCCTATTATTCTTGATAATTAAATTGAAATGTTTGTTTATGTTTATGTTCATGTTCAAAAGGCATCAACTTTTCACAGATTCATCCAATTGATCTTTTTTTGGTTTCAAAATGTGCACAAGAGCCTTGAGCATAAAATTTGGTATAGGACGCTCACCAGAATTTCTTTCAGAATTTCAGAATTTCAGAAAAGAATCAGCCTGTAAAAGGGAGTCAATTTTGGCGTTTATCTTTAAAAAAATAGCGATTTTTTCGATTTTTTATGTCAGAAATCTGTCAAAAGGATTCTAAAAGTTCTTTCAGATTCGAATTCAGAGCATTTTTCACATCGAATACCACTTACACAATTTAACGGCGATTGCATTTTCGCGCGGATGTGCGGCGTTTTCAATTAGACTTAAGGATTGACTTACGGTTGGTTTTAAAAGAATTCTCATCAAATTTGGCTAAAGAAAAGTGCAGTTTATTTTGTATACTCACCTGTAAGAAAATAGGGAAAAACGGCATCAAAGTTGACCGACTTACCTGCAGAACTTACCTGCCGGTCAACGGTTCAAGCAATCAACTTTAATGGTCTTAAAATTTATGATTCTTTTCCTATAATATCTGAAAACTTATGTTATTTTTAAAGATTCATCCATTGAAATCTAGGACTTGAAAAAATAGGATATTCTTGAGGAATTCTTGAGGAATTCGAATTTCTTTAGCGAACAATGACACACAAACACGTTTATAACCCGAGAAGGGGGAAAAAAAAGGAGAAATATGTCGAAAATTCCTTAAAATGCAAATGTAATATCAAGTGATGAATCATTTTTGGTTTCTAGGTTTTCTGACCAAGGTCAATGATATTTTTTTCCTGGTTTTACGACATAGTTAGTCAGGCTTAGATTTGACCAGGTGCTGGCCTGGCTTTACTTCAGCGCAAGGCTTGAATCTGACTCTGGCGTGGCTTGACCTGGCCTTGTTTACATGCTTCAGGATGTTGTTGGAACATTGCTGCATTTGTTCAACTGATCTCCACCCATAGTTCTGACTTTTGCACTATTTCAGGGTAATCTGATTGTAGGTTTTCCATGATTCAAGAATGATCAATACTGGAACGTTTCACGATGTCTGCTTGAAAGCAATAAAAATGATTCAATCAAAAGCCTAATCTTCATTCAATTACCTGTCGGAAACACAAAAACGAAAGATCTCCAACATAAAGATAAGCTTATTTTTTTCCCCGATAGCTTAAACCTTTATTTGAATACCCATCTTTGTCCCCTCTACTTCATGACTCATTCTTTTCCTATTTGGGCACCTCTTTCCTTTATTTTTCTTCTTCTTGTTGACAATCTCCCTCCCTTTTGCCCATTTTTACAATCGTTTAGCCCTTTCTGATCGAAGCCATCCCTTATCTTTTATTTCTTTCTTCTTTTTCTTCCTTTCATCCCTCTTCTCCTCAATGTTGTCACACTTCCGACTCTCCAATATAAATTTCTCTTGACAATAACTTGTTTAATTCTGCTTAACTTTCTTCTTTCTTGGTCTATCAATTATTTTACGGAAACTTTTAGACATGAAATTCTACATCTTGTTGGCGCTAGTGGTCGTTGGTGAGTGAATTGAGTCTCAAGGCTTACACTTCCACATTTCAGCTCTTCTCACCTATTCCGAAGCTCGTGATCGACGAAATATCGGACAAGGAGCTGGGTACAATCAAGGTTTGCATTGAAATTTCAAATAAAACTCAGAAAATCGGTATCTTTTTTTGGTAAATTACAGTACTGGACAATGAAATATCATATTTGAAAAACGATCGTCACTTTCGCGCGTCTGTAACTCCATTGTCTTTACCGTATTTCTAAATATTAATACTACCATTGTGTAGCCATTGAAAAGAGCCATTGAAATTGTGTAGCCATTGAAACACTAATAGTTTAAACTCGAAGACAAGGAAGTTTAGCCCTTTCTGATCGAAACCATCCCTTATCTTTTATTTCTTACAGAAGTGCGAACGTGACGATCGTTTTTCACATATGATATTTCATTGTCCAGTACTGTACCTTTTCTCTTTCCAGGTATCGGTGGCGGAGCTCAACCAAACTGGAACAACAACAACGGATACAACAATGGAATCGGAGGCGGAGCACAGCCAAACTACAACAATAACAACAACTACAATGCATATGGAAGCTCCGGTAAGCTATAAACTATTCAAAATTAAATCTACATCTGCTTTAGCTAGATTGTTTTAAGCACTTGCACTTGCATGAGCCATTATCCCAAAATCATCACTAGAATTTGTTTTAGCTATGCAATCCAAAATTCAACAGCATTTTCCTTTTAAATATAATATTTTCTAAACTTAAGAACTACCATAATCTTGTCCGAGATCTGCTGCAAACCAAAAAGTACCTGAACTCATCAGATAGACGCTTTAAAAAGTTATCGAACATTTCAAACGCACCCCACCCCTTTTCCCATTGCCAATCTAACTTTAAGCTCTAATTTCTTGGTTTCTAAGCTTTCCAATTTCAATATTCTTAATTTCATTAGATGCGCTAAGTCTTTCTCTATCGATTCGTACAAAAACTATTTAAATTGAACAGCCCAACACCAAGAAATTTGAGCTTAAAGTTGGGTTGCCAATGGCAATTGCTTTTCTTTTTTTGTAGGCCACCAGAAGGGACACGGACAAAAACACGGAAAACATCACGGAAAACGTCACATTCACCATGGTCAATAAATAGAAATCATCGTTTTCCTTTCCTTGATTTCACCCTATAGCTTTTTGTACATTTTTACACCCATCTTTACCTTTAATAAATGCTTTGCATGCACTCTCACTTTTCTAAAGCAACCGAGAAAGAATAAGGAATAAAGATTTCAAAAGAACATTTACAAAGAAATGTAAAAACAAAGAACTCTTCAGGCAACACAATATCGTGTATGTCGTGTGAGGGCTCCGGTTGCAACTTTAATCAATTCCCTGTTCGTTGTGATCCCACAAACAAATGCTATACCATTTTTCATCGTGATGGATCTGGTGAGTTTCGAAGTAGGATTGAAATTTTGTGTAAGAAGTTGAGTTTTGGGTTTAACTTTAACGATCAGTATCAGAATTATAGCAAGAATAGGATCAGAATTATAGCAAGAACAGGATCAGAGTTATAGCAAGAACAGGATCAGAATTATAGCAAGAACAGGATCAGAATTATAGCAAGAACAGGATCAGAGTTATAGCAAGAACAGGATCAGAATTATAGCAAGAATAGGATCAGAATTATAGCAAGAATAGGATCAGAGTTATAGCAAGAACTTTTTGGAAAAGTATGGAATCTAAAACAGTTAATTATTTTTCTTAATATCATTAAGTGGTATTTAAAACTATTTTTGCATTAAAGAACTATTGAAAGGCTTTTCTGAGCAATTTCTAATAGAGAAAAGCGGCCAAATGACAGAGATGTCGACTAGCGTTCATTCAAGCGCTTGTTAAATGAGTTGTATAAGTTCAACCAAAAAGTTTTTGTTAGATAAATGTAGAGAACTAGGACTAGGCTCTATCGAACATTTGCCAATTTTGAAATAAATTAGACATTTCCTAGCTACTTTTTCAAAAAGTTGTCGCTATTTTCGCGGTCATTCTGTATACTTTTTTTTCTATTTTATATTTTCCCTAATAGTAGTGTCCCGTAAGCTTTGCCTAAATTACTCGAAATCTAGAAAAGCGCTTATCAGAACCTATCGATGTGAGGTCGGAAAATGTAGCTGACGATGAGATCTTGTGGGGAATTTGAGTGTTGAGCTTCTGGGAAGACTTGAAAACCGTAAAATAGTCATCAACTTGGCTGCACTACTATTAGAGAAAATACGGTAATCATTTCAATCATTGCCATTTCAGTGCAGCGAAAGGGATGCTCGAGATTTGGATGTAGTCAAGAAGCTTCCGGACAACCATGCCAAGACTGTACGAACAATGAATGCAACAGTGAGTGCTGTTATTCAGTTTTCCTTTTAGTCTGAAAACAATTAACAAGCTTTTCAAAGAAAAACGGATTTTAGAAGACCATCGTTACAGCGCAGGCAATTTTGGAGCTATGAATGAACCAGTGAATCGTAAGTTTTTGTTCAGATTTTTATAACAAAGCAAAGATCTACCATCTAAACAATATTTAGCTTATGGTGGAACAAACATTGGAGGTGGCGCTGTTCCAAATCGTAAGTTTTTCTTGTGATTTTCGGTAGCCTAAAAGGCAATGCCAAAAGCAGCTTTCAGAGATCAATGCAATGCTTTGTTTGTTTGGCTAGGTGAAAAATCAGCTTTTAGCCTTGATTCGTTTTGATTCGAATCCACAATAAGGACAAATATCGGAACATTAACTTAACAAATAGAAATCATCGTTTTCCTTTCCTTGATTTCACCCTATAGCTTTTTGTACATACAAACTACAAAAACAACTACAAAACAAATATAAGCGCAACAATTTTTACTATTTAGATGGTCATCGTCATCGATCTGGCTCGGCACTCGAAATTCTCTCATCAATGATTCTCATCTTTCTATCTCAATTTCTCTAAAAGCTTTTCGTGATCATTTTTTCTGTATTTTGAATAAAGTAACTTATTTTAAATAATCAATAACAAAAAACTAAAAACTCATTCATTTAATCATTCATTTAATCGCTAATCATTTCCGGTAAAGTGTCAACAATTCCTCTCCATCAAATTCAATCGATCATTTCATCTTATCAGCGCTTTCAAAATTTTTACCACTCTTCACAATCTAGATTGTGTGAAAGGGTAGTAAAAAGGTGCGCTCAGAGATTTTCAATCGCACACAAACAATCTACTCTTTTCCTCACTTCAATTGTAAACATGAAGACTGCCTTGTTAATCGTACTTTTTACAGCAACAGGTATATCTTTAAAACTGATATCAAGATCATCTAATTGTGAGAAATAAATGTTAAACAAAAAGAAATGCATTCAGCAAATGCTTTGACTTGTTATACGTGTGATCAAGACACTTGCCAGACAACGCCAAGAGTTGAGGGATGTGATCCGACTACAAAATGCTATACAGTCACAACAAAACCCGGAGGAGTCGGTTGGTTTTTTTCAGATTTTAAATGAATTTAAAGTTTAAAGTTTTCTAGACTTACAAAGCGTTTTTTTATATCATAAAAATAGAAAGATTTGTCATTTCAGTGTTGAGAAAGGGATGCACAAAATCTTGCTCTTATGAGGCGAGCGAAGGAAGCGATCTTGATTGCAAAATCTGCGATGGAGATCAATGCAATGGTTTGTTTGTTTGGCTAGGTGACAAATCATAGCCTAGACCACATTTGGGTGACAATTTGACTGGCCAACCAGGCTCATGGCCAACCAGGCTCATGGCCAACCAGGCTCATGGCCAACCAGGCTCATGGCCAACCAGGCTCATGGCCAACCAGGCTCATGGCCAACCAGGCTCATGGCCAACCAGGCTCATGGCCAACCAGGCTCATGGCCAACCAGGCTCATGGCCAACCAGGCTCATGGCCAACCAGGCTCATGGCCAACCAGGCTCATGGCCAACCAGGCTCATGGCCAACCAGGCTCATGGCCAACCAGGCTCATGGCCAACCAGGCTCATGGCCAACCAGGCTCATGGCCAACCAGGCTCATGGCCAACCAGGCTCATGGCCAACCAGGCTCATGGCCAACCAGGCCCAACGGCCACCAGGCCACCCACCACCAGCGAACACAAGCAACCAACAACCACATAGCTCATGGCCTCATAGCTCATGGCCTCATAGCTCATGGCCTCATAGCTCATGGCCTCATAGCTCATGGCCTCATAGCTCATGGCCTCATAGCTCATGGCCTCATAGCTCATGGCCTCATAGCTCATGGCCTCATAGCTCATGGCCTCATAGCTCATGGCCTCATAGCTCATGGCCAACCAGATCAGATAATTGTCAGATCAAACCCCGGCATATGGGTGACAGTTTGGGCTGACCAGTTTGCATATCCTTGATCTCAATGGAATGTAACCTCAATTTGTTACACTTAAAACCATTTATCATATACCAAAAAAGTTGTCTTATCTCGTGAATTCAACACTTTTCCAGATCAAGCCGGAAATCCACCACCACCAAGCGAGAACAAACCATCACCTCCACCTGGTTAGTTATGTTCGGAAAAGTTCAAACTTTCGAAAATCTCGTACCTTGAAAATCTCGTACTCGTCAAAACTTTTGATTTATTTAAATTCAGGCATTGGTGGTGGTGCTGTGCCCGACGCGAAGCCTTCCTCCTCATTCAAATCAAGCATTCTTTCATCAATTTTCTCTTTCCTTCTCATCATCGCTTTGTTTTAAATTTCTCATTAATCTTCGGGTAATTTATCGATAAATTTTCTGAAATATTCTTTGGATATAACTACAATATGTTGTGTGTTTTATGATTTTTATTTTTTCTTTTTCTTTGAGGAAAAATGTGGCCGTCCAAATGTAATTATCGGCTCCAGAAATGGAAAAAAAATTATTCATTTGTGTATTTGTGTCTATAATTGGGAATTTTCAAGTAATTTCTTTAAGTTTTTATTTTACCGACTTGAATCTCACGATTCTAGTGACTTATTCACAACTCTAACTTGTCGTTATAAATGTAGTTGTTGTGGTTGTTGGATCGGCTGGCAAGGCTGTTCCTGCCAGTCCAAGCTAGACAAGGCCAAGTTTAGTTTATTCAAAAGTTTACACCAATTAAATCCAAATTCGAATTGATAAATGCAATAAAATGAATAGCTCAAACCAATTCCTCGACCCAGAAAACCCAAAGGTAAAAGCTTTTCGCTCAATATATTCCTTTTATACCATCTACAAAGCTAAAGAAATCGTGTTCTTTGTAGGCGCGCAGAATCGCTTTCCATCTGGCAAACGTTCGATATAGGGGTCTTCCCTTTTCGATCGACCAACCCGGTGCAACTGTAGCTTTTCCCTTGTAGTTCCTTGTTTTGTTTCTCACTAGTCAGTCTCACAATCTTTAGTCAATTTCCCCTTTATTCAACGCTTTCTCCATTAAAAAGACCTTGAACATGTTGAGACACATTCAAACACTTGAACAGTCTTCCGGTCCAAATCGAGTTATCCCCAGACGGTCCATTCAAAAGCATAAAATCCAATTCTCCCAAAATTCTCAAAATGTCATGAATGTGAATTTCCTTAACCCCAGCAGGTGTTTTTTTTTGAGTAAATCGGAATTCCTTGAAGAGCACGAATTTTCCGTCGTACTTTTGCGTTATTTCTTTTCGTTTCCATGAAAACCCTCTCCGTGATCGTTTCATTTAAGAAAAAGTAAAAAAAAAACCAATTTTTCGAGTTCATAAAAATTTCATTGCTTTACATCTGGGCATTGAATAAATTATAGAATTTTTGTCTAAAGAACACAAATTTTGAGTCGTTTTTTTTTTGAAATCCTGCAGAAAGGCGTAATTATTTTCGGAAATGGATGGTTATTTTTGAAAGTAACTTTTTGTAAAGCATTGATTTTTGTTAAATTTTTTAAATTTTTTAAAAGTGTTTAAAAGTTTTCGAATATTTGAAATTTGTAGAACGAGAGAGTCAGAGTCAAACTAAAGTCAAAAATTCGAGGCCATAACTTTAACCAGTTTTTTTCTTTTAAAACTGATAGTCCAGTCCTTGATATTTTAAATTTCACACAACTTTGAACTGACATTTGAAACTTTAACTTCCATAGAATAAAAAAGGAAATATCGAAAAAGACTCATTTCACTCATCATTAATGAGACGATGGGTGAACTGAAGAGAGAGTAACGAGACACTCCTTTTTCACTTTCAAAAAAGAGAGGATTCTAGTTCTGTCTGATGTCTGATGACGAAGTTTTCATTTAGGATTGCATCTACATTTTTATTAGTTCCTAACATTTGATTTACCATTTGATTTACCATTTGATTTACCATGGCAAAGCATGAAGCTCATTTTGAAAATGAGTCTAAATTCAAATTACCGAAATGGTCCGCTGTCAAGTGCTTCTCCCCGATAGATTTGTTGAGCGGGGTCCCGATTTTGGTGACGCCGATCTCATTCTGCTCCGCGGAAGGAAATTTTGAGGATCGAGGATAATCGAGCTAATCTCGACCGAATACCCAATCTAGACTGAATACCGTAGTCCAGCTAATCTAGACAGAATACCCAATCTAGACTAAATACCGTCATCCAGCTAATCTAGACCTTCCAAAATTCAAATTACAGAAATGGTCCGCTGTTGTCAAGTGCTTCTCCCCGATAGATTTGTTGAGCGGGGTCCCGATTTTGGTGACGCCGATCTTATTCTGCTCCGCGATTTGCGCCATTCCGCGCACCCCTTTGTACAGTTGCGTAGTCGCAAAAGTTTTTTAGTATTTCATTTTTTTTGAAAGCGCCCGTACTTTCAAAAAATGCGTCTTTGGTATCAAAAAATAGCTGAAATTCAGGGCTATTTTTTGATATCTAAGCGCGCATTGTAGCATAAACCAGTGTCGAGAAAAACAAAATCCAACACAAAGCTTTCTGCAAAATTTTATTTTAATTTTTCTACAGAAAATCATTGGTCGCTTTCTGGCTTGTTTTCTCAAAATTTCCTTTCCTCAAAAGCAAGTAAATCCCATAAATTTAGTCCAAAACTTTAGTCCAAGACTTTGAAGTCCAAATATTTGAGCTCTGAAACTTTTTAGTTGATTAGGAAACTTTAACTAGCTAGCTATTGATTAGGAAAATTTAACAATGTCAAAAAAAACCCTATTATATTTTTAAGGGCTATTTGCTTACTGTAAATGATCTACGACAATTAGTGTGACACAAAAAATGTCCATTCATATATTCAGAAGCCCCTATTCAGAAATATCCGCATCCCTCAACATGTGGGTGGGCATTCCACCTCAAAAGTCGCTTCTTGTCCCTTTCCTTTTCCTTTCCCTCTCACCCCATTACTCATTTTCCGCCCCAAGGGCCATCTCACTCCCCCCTTTTTTTTGACCTCATGCTTTCCAGTTTTTTTTTTCTTTTTCTTTTGTCAGTTCTAATTTTGGCTGACAAATTGGCTCAAGTATGACCTTTTCTCTTTCTACTTTTTGTCTTCTCATTCTCGAAACTCATTTGAATTTTCTACTGAATTTTCTTAATGAAAAGATTAGTGAATTTTCGTGAAGGGAAAGTGAATGAGAAAAGGGAGAAAATTAAAACAAAAAAAATTCTTTGTTTATTTTCTCGAGATCAACGAATACAGTGTGAAGGAAAAGGAAATGCGACTCTTGTTTTGCAGTTAAATGTAAATTTCAAATGCAATGATAGGCTAAAGCTTACCTACAGTCATGTGCAAAAGTCTTTTAACACTCAATTTTCTAAAAAGTTTCATCGATTTTCTTTGATAAAGTTCTTTAAGCTCTTTAGGCTATTAATAGTTTTAGTTACACAAATATACCGTAAATACTGTAATAGTACCCCACCCCCATAATGACGGTGCAGAGTGTCGCGTAGTCTAGCTTTGAACGAGTTTTTCTCGACACTGGTTTATGCTACAATGCGCGCTTAGGT